GGCAAATGGCCATTTAAATGAGGTTAAGGGAGGTCTAATTAGGAAGGTGGCATATTACATATCTGAAGAAAAGAACAAACAGACCTTGCAAAGTTGGAGGCCAGTGAGGATGGTATAGTGAGTTAACCCCTGCATTAAAATGAAGTAGAGGTGGGCAGATTGTGTAGAGCCTGTGAGCCTTGCAAAGATGAGGGTGTTTTAATCCAAATGAACTAATAACCACTGCAGATTTACAGGGAAGCAGAGTGACCACCCTACATGTTAAAAAGGATCACTTGGCTACTCCACAGGGAAATACTGATGGATGGTGGAAGCAACTACAGTAATCCAAGCGAGAGGTATGATGGTGTGGACCAGAATGATTAAAAAAAAAAAAAAAGTAATATTATGTATATTTTTAAGTAGTCCACAGAATTCCTGACAGATTAAATGTAGAAGTGAAGGTAGAGTTGAGTTAAGGGAAATTTTATTACACATGATCAACCAGAAGGATTAAGTGACCATCAGTTGACAAGCAGCAGAAAATAATGACATTTTAGGGGAGAAGTTCTGGACACATTAACTTTGACTTGTGTATTAGATATTAAAGTGATGGTGTTCAGTTGGGAATTACACACAAGTGTCAATTTCAGAAGAGAGGTCTGGGTTGAAATTTTCACCTCATAAATAGTATTTAAATCCATGAGGTTGCAAAACTTTCTCACTTAGTAGATGTGTAGATACATTTTTCTCTTTTCAGAGATTTCTATAACTTAGAAATCTTTCCATAACTTTATGTGCTGAGTTCTCATTCTTTTTCATCATTTTGTAGCATTTAGTCATATGGTCATATCAAACTTATTTAATCTGTAGGAGGATAGGCATGCATTCATTTTTTAAATATTTAAAAGTATTTTAAGTATTTTGAACTTTTAATTTCACAAGTGTGTGAACAGACTTGATAAGAGTGCCAGGATACCCTCACAGGTCAGTATCAATTTCATAGATCAGTTTCCACTTTTCACAACAACGTGAGTGGCCATTTCCCCTATATCAACCTAACCTTAATCAAGTTTCAAATTATAGTCCATCAAATAAAAAGTGAGAACTTGCATTTTTCTTTCAAGAGAAATGAGGCAGCTCTTCCTTTACTTAATAATTATTGGTATTTCATATATGAAAACCATTTATATTAGTCAACTGTCAGTCAGGAAGACAGAAAACACTCTAGGCATTATAATCTGGAAAGGATTTAATACAGGTGCTCCCACCTTGGAAGGGCTCAGGGAAAGGAAAGTCAGGCAAAGCTGCCAGTGAATTCAGGAAATCAAAGTTACAGGAATTGCAGGAAATGAGAGCTGATGATCTCAGCTGCCCGCAGCAGTGAAGCAGGTGATTAACAGAATGCAAAAGTCCTGCAAAACCTCACGTATGCCATCAGATCAACTTTCATGCCTGCCCTCTGATGCTAAAGGAACAAAAAAGGCTTCCATTCCTCTTGCTTTTCAAATATTACACGTGCCTCTCATTGGCAGCCTGCAGATAAAATCTTCTTAGCAAGACAATCAAGGAAGTGTGACTTCCAGGCTTCCAGTTCCTACAATACAGATTTTAGAAAGCGGTTCTTGGAACTCACGTAAACCCTTCTAACCAGGACTAAGTGTGGTATGTCTCTCCTTCACACAATCAGTGCTAGTCACTTCTCCAGTCACTCTCCATCTCCTGTGTTCCTTCTTAATGTTCAATACAACTCACCTGTACTTTCTGTAACTTGAAGACTAAATTAAAACGTTAACCACCGCCAGCACAAAGTGAAAGGGTGGGGGTAGGGACAGGGAAAAGGAAAACAATATATTAAACACAAAATCAGGATAAAATATGTACTATTACTGAAATTCCACATTCTGCACCTGTCCCTGAAGTGATAGCAGATACCTGTAATTACAGAATTGTCCTTTCCAAGTTTTCATTGCTAATGTACAGGAATAATATTGTACCCTGCTACTTTGAATTCATTTATTGTTTCTAGTAATTTGGTTTTTTTTGAGGGTCCTTCAAAGATTTCCCATATATATGATCATGTTATTTCCAAATAGAATTTTACTTCTTCCTTTCCAATCTGGAAGCCATTTCTTTCTTTTTTTAGCTAAATGCCTTCGCCAGAACCTCCAGGACAATATCCAATAGAATTCATGCTCTGTTCCTGATTTTATGAAGTTTCCAGTTCTTTCACCATTAAATGTTGTATTTCATTGATGTCCTTTACCAGAATGAAATTTCCTTTCTATTCTATTGTTTCATATATATTGAAAGGGTATTGGATTTTATCGAATGACTTTTTTTCCCACTGAATCATATTTTTACTCGTGTCCTTTTTAATACAACGCATTATTTTACTAATTTTTAGCACACTGAACCACCATGCATTCCTGAGATGAAATTCCACTTGGTCATGCAATCTTTTTATGTGACTAGATGTGATGATTAAGAATTTTCTGCATTTATACACATAGAATCTGGTTTTCTTGTGATGTCTATTTTATTTTGGTAGGAGGATAACACTGTTCTCATAGAATAGTTATGTGTTCCTTCCTTTTCTTGAAAGAATTTGAAGACTGGTGCTAAACTAATCCTGCTTTAAATGTCTGACAGAATTAGGGCCGCTCAGGTGGCATAGGAGTTAAGAATCAGAACTATCACCTCTATGGCTAGAGATCAATCCCTGACCCACATGATGCAATGGGTCTCTCCTTTCTCCCCTGCTGTTCCCCTCTGCAGTATATTTCAGTAAATCCCCCTTTTCTGCTCTCCAGTCTCTGGTGAATCTTCTCACACCATTTCCCCATTCTTTCCCCACCACACCCCAGTTCTTGTATGCATAAATAAATAAAAATAGATCTTTTAGATCATGCTTAGTGAGATAAGCCAGAAAGAGAAAGAAGAATACCGGATGGTTTCACTCACTGCAGGAGTATAATGGACCAGGTGGAAAATAACAAAAATAATGAACAACCATATACCAGAGACATTTTGTGGGGGTGGTGGAGTGGGGAATGGGATCAAAAATGGGGTGGGGGGAGGGAAATGCACGGGATTATGGTGATGGCACATGGGTGACTTGGTGATGGGAAACCGCGGGGATTACAATTGAGATGGAAAAAAAATAATGTACAAAATGATGTAAAAATAAACTTAAAAAAAAAAAATAAAGCACATTGCCTTTCTGGCAAAAAAAAAAAAAAAGAAAGAAAGAAAAAATAGGTCTTTTAAAAAAAACTGACAGAATTAAACAGTAAAGGTATCTGGTTCTGGGTTTTTCTTAATTGGTTATCTGAATAGTAACTTAAAATCTGTACATGTTCTACTTATTTTTTTTCCAATTTAAATACATATTTGTTTACATCATTTTGTACTTATTTTCAGTGCCTTTTTAGTTTTAGTAGTTCCTAATAATTAAGCAATTTCATATGATTTTGCAATGTATTAGTATACAATTGATTATTCATGTTCTTTATCAATTTTATTTGTTTTTAAAAATTATTTGTTTATGCATACAGAACTGGGGTACAGGCCAGAAGTACAGGGTCAGTGAGAGGATTCACCAGAGACAGAGTGGGGAGCATAACAGGCAAGACTGACTGAAATACACTGCTAAGGGGAGCAGCTGGCAAGACAGAAGTCTGCTGCTCCATGTGGGTCACTTCCCTGGCTGGGGATCAAACTCACACTTAAGTGGCTGTGGCTAGCTAGCTCTGTAGTGCTGAGCTTCAACCTGTTGTGCCACCAGGGAGGGCCCTATCAGTTTTATATTAGAATGGTAGTAATGCTTACTTTTTCATGACTGACTTTAGTTCTCTGAGTCATCTTTTTTTTTTCTTGATCAGTGGAACATTAGGTTAGTCTTCATAAAAACAACTTTTAATTAATATTTGCTACTGCTTTTCTGTTCTGTATTTCTTACTTAAATCTTGATTATTGTCATACTTCTATCGTGTTGTGACTTGCTCTTCTTTCTCTAGTTTAATATGGGAGAAAAATGTGTTGTTGACTTGATCATTTTTTTTAGTGAACTATCTTCTAAGAACTGTTTTTATAGCATCACAGAAGTTGTATGTTGTCTTTTTTTTCTTTTTGAAGTATTTCTTAATCTTCCTGATTTTGTATTTCATTGGTTATTTTAAAATGTTATGTACTTTCCACACATACTTGTGATTTTCCCTAATGTACTTATAATTTCATTCCATTTGTGGTCACGAAACATCCTTTATGTGATTTCAACTCTTTTTAATGTCTTAAAGACATTAAATGGCCTAAATTTTTGTGGCTGATGTTCCATGTACAATTGATAAAAATGTGTCTTCTATTATTTCTAAGGTGAATTCTATATATGCCTGTTAGGTCCAAGTGGTGTATAGTACTTACTGATTTTTCCTTGTTTTTCTATCCATTATTGAAAATGGGGTATTGAAGTTTGCAATTTTTACTGTTAAGTTGCCTATTTATGTCTTCGTTTCTATCAAATTTTGCTTTATGAGTTTTTAGGCCATATTGTTAAGGGTGTTATCTATAAAATACTATTATATTCAAAACTGTTTTAATTTTTTAAAAAAGATTTATTTATTTATGCATACAAGAACTGGGATATAGGCCAGAGGTGCATGGTTTGAGAGGATTCACCAGAGACAGAGTGGGGAACAAAACAGGCGGGTTGACTGAAATACACTGCTGAGAGAGCGGTGGACAGGAAAGATCTACCATGCAATGAGGGTCACCTGCCTGGCCAGGGATTGAACTCCTGCTGCAGTGCTAGGCTTTAACCTGTTGTGTCATCATGGAGGACACACTTGTTATATATTCTTGATGGATTGGGCATTTTTACTATTAATGTTGTACTATGTGTCCATACCAGCTAGTAGACTATATTAAGTTTCCTATTTAGGTCAAAAATTCTACAATAGTTTGATGAAATATTTCTTCAGTAGGACCAAAAACTAAACTTAATTTCTGTATTTAGTTTATTCAGAAGATTCAATTTTAAGCATCTATAAAACATTTATTAATCCATTATTTTACTGTAACATTATAAATTTAAGTGACAAAGAAACAAAAATATGTAATGAGACAGACAATATTTCAGCAGTATGTCTTAGAATAAGGAAACCCAAATTAAAAAACACACCATCACCAAAACAACCAACCAACCTACTTTATTAGGCATGTCTATGTTTTATTTTCCTTTAAGTGTTATTTTTTGGAAAATTACACTTTCAAAGAATCTGCTCTTGCAAACAGAGCAGTTAATCTTTCCAAATATAAAATTCAGTATCTAGATTTTCAAAACTCACAAAAGGAAGTATCATGGTAGCCAACAGGTCATGCTCAAATCAGTTTTACATCGCAGGGAATAATCTAGAACTAATTTCAGCAGATAAAGCCCAATTCTAAATTACTAGAGACTACTAATATTCCCAACAATGTGGACAACTATCTTATTGCTGAATTGTACATGGTAAATTTTCTTTGGCAACTTTTTGTACTATTAACACAATCGGTCGACTTTTAAAGGTTTAGATTAACTTAGCTCAAAAACTTCAAAACTTCATTCTAATTACTTAAATCTAATTTCTTATAGATGCTAGAACAGGAAAGCTTCCAAATATGCCTAATGTAAAATGACAACAAAAATACTGCTAAATAATTATTACTAAAGCTTTTCAGTTGTATGTGCAATTATATAATTCAATTCAAACACCACCGAAAACATTACAATGTTAGCTCCAATTCTCTATCAGATTTTCTGTTATAAATGATAAAAATTAAATTGAGAAACTAACATTTGAGTATCACATTTTTTCTGGAAAGCTGTTTCAGATGACTCAATATGTCCTTAAATTTGCCAGAATATAATATGGATTCTCACTATAGTAACCGTGTAAAATTAAAATGACAAATCTTTAACTTTTAATTTTTGTTCTATGAAATAAACCTACTTTGGAGGCTTGCCACAATATCAGCAAGAAATTTAAACGGAAGCAGAAGTCCAGATGCATAAGAAATCTCTATATATAACAAAATCACCAATTTAAATTATAAGTGGCTTCCACTAAATCTTACTACTCCAAATTCACACAACTTAAAATAGGTTTGGGAGAAAGTGCACTCTGAAGCACGTTCACATTATAAAGATAAATGATGAGTTAACTAGCCAAAATTCAAATAGGCATATACACAAATATTTGTATGCACACTTTCATGAGTAACATATATGAAATGATTCCCTTTGATAGTTTTATGTACAACTTGTACACCATTTAAAACAGGTACAACTGAAAACACTCCATGTAAAAGTCACAATAAAGTCAAATGAAATACTAAATAACAGTCTTACAAATTGGTCTCTCTTAGGGGTTCTCAAGAGAATAACAGCTGATTAATCTTCTAGGAAATGCCCTCTTCTTGATCAATCATTTCTGTTTTAACTGAAAAAACATCTGCCAGCATATGTTTTGGAATTTCTGAACCTCTGACTTTCAAGGCATAACAAGCATTCTCTACTTTAGCCAAACTTTGTTTCAAGGTATACAGCTTCTTAGAAACCTCATAAGGCCCAGTGTTGCCAATGAATGAAAACCCATCATACACCTGCCTTAAAAACTGGCTCACTTCAAAGGGAGTGTCAATGTCCCCATTCCCCACACTGTTAATACACATCCGCATCAACTCTCCAGTTAAATCAGCCACTCCCAGAAGGTAATCAACAGGTGTGATTTTCAGTCTCCAAGTACCAAACTGCTTATCCTGTGCATCAGAGGAGGGCTGGTAAAAAAAACAAAAACAAAAACACAACATACACACACACAAAGAAAACACATCATGAAAAAGAGTCACTATGCATGTATCACATTTATTATAGGGTACAAATGGGTGATACTAAACTCTGAATAAAAAGGCTCTCTTCTGCTTAATGACCATTTGGGTTACAAGAGGAATTCATTCCCTAGGTTGGGAGCTGGAAGCAATTGACTTCAGGCAAATTTTGAAATCTACTACTATATCATTATGAAATCAACAATTTCCAACTTGACACACACACAAAAAATTTTTTTTTAATTTACATTCTTAAACTAGGCCTAATGACTTTATTTCATCACAATCAAAAAGCCCTGCAGGACTGTGAGCCACTCACATTTCCCTAAGGCATTTAGTTCCTTTCTGGTCTCTCTATTCCCCCCATCTGCACTGACCATCATTATTTTTCTCTCTCACTGCATCCTCCTTAGTTCCTTTAGACTTTTTTCCTACTGCGGTTGCCCACCAAAAACACAACTTTGAATCAGTTTTTAAAATCTACTTTTGTTAGTGCTTTATTCAAGTGGCTGAAGATCCCTGAGCTAAAAAAATTAATAATCACAACTCTAATTTATACCACTACAAATTACTCACCAGTCCTTTTACTTATTCTTAGATGATTCTCTTTCCAGTCTCCTCAAACACTATTCCAAACCTTCATGGCTCTCCTTCAGCTCCCTATTCAATCCTCAAGTTCTTTGCTCTCAGTAGACAATTTTGCCTACTTTCACTTTCTTGTTCATTTGCCGATCACCTGACACAAGCTCTCTTAATTACCTTACCCTTACCAAAAAACAAACAGACAGATAAAAAAACTTATTTATGTCCACAACCATCTTTACCTTCTATCCTCCAGTCTCAGATGATGAGTTGTCCCTCCTCTTGTTTGAGGTTAACTCTTCCAAATGACCTTGACCCATCTCCTCCCACCTCTTCCAGGACCTTGCTTCATAAGATGTATGCCCTTGGGCAAGTTATTTCATCTCTCTAAACCTCAGTTTCCTCATCTGTAAAATGGGATAACAGTACCTACCTCAGAGTTTATTTTAAGGATGAGATAACATTTACCAAGCTCTTGGCATAATGCCCAACACAATGTAAATACTCAATAAATGTTAGCTGCTATCACCATTACCAACATCATATCAATCTCTTCTTCCCATATCAAGTTTTCTCCCTCTATTGGATTATTTCTAGAAAACACAAAGCCTACACTGCTATTCAAAGTCTGTATAAGACTTAACTAGCGAAATGCAGCTATTTTGGAGGAAATTTTAAACATACAAAATGGCAAAGGCATACAGGTAAGAACAATGTTGGATATTTGAGGAGCTTGTAGGTATTTCTTTGAGTGAGGATTAGTCTAGAAAGACAAGGGTAGAAAGTCACATTAAAGAACTTGAACTTTACCTATAGTTCATAGTGTCACTGAGAAATGAGGCCCAAGGAACACCATAGATAATACAGCTATATAATCACAGAACTGGACAAACACTCAAAGTCACTTCCCAATTATTCTAATGCCAATGAAACTGTACTCTAATATAAAAATACCTGCTGTATTCTTCTTAAGAACTGGCACCATTTTTAGAAAGGTTAGATTAGTAGTAAAGGAAGTTATATTTCATACGTCATTTGTAAAAATAACTTCTGCTTAAAAAACAATAAACATCTTTGTTTCTATTATTAGAAAGAAGTATATTCCCTAAGTTTTAACTCAGAAGCTGATTTTAGAGAAAAATACCAAGCTAAAAAACTTAACAAATTTCAACCGACAAAACTGCCAAGGAAATATATTTTATTTTACTTATAATACTAAAGACCAGGGAAGAGAAAATTAATTAAAACACAGTTTTTCAAGATGGGTCTGAATATCTGGGGTGAAATATGATACCTATAACTTAAGTAACAGCAAAAAATATTAAGATAAACCAAATATGGCAAAGTATTACTTAATGAATCAAATTAGTAGGTATATAAATATTACACTCTGCCTTCTATATATTTAGAATTTTTTTTTCATAAGAAAAAGTTTTTAAAAATCAAATTAAATTAAGTGGTTTTGGCAATATTCTCAATAAAAGACCAAAATGCTTTTCCCTATCAAATTCTCAGAATTTTTACCAATGATCTTTAGCACTAAAAGGAAAAATTATAAATGTACTCTTGACATAAAGTATATATGTATAACCTTAGAATAGTTACTACCTTGTTCCTAAAAACAATACACTTCTTTCAGTTTCTCTTTCAACTTTCACTTTCTATTTTAATTAGAAGAATTTGAAAGGAAGATGTGGTTAACTACCTGAAAGAAACATGATTACTTTACTTCTTTTTGTCAACCAACCTTCACTGATGTAATAAAAATATGAAGGAATTTTACTTCTCAAAATGAATTTCCTCTTTAACAAGCTACATTATTGTTTCCATAGTAGTGGTGATCACATTTGCCTCACATAATTATGAGAAAATACATGGCTTCCTTAAAGCAAGTTATACCTGCCATGCAAAACTAAGTCTCATTCTGTAATATTAAATTTCAATCGGTATTTATGCGTTATTTTCATACCTTCTTCCATCTTCTGCCTACCTATACTGAATCTTCTAAAATCTTTTGAATATTTTTAAAATAACAAGAGAAAGAAAATATTATGAAAAATAAAAGGAAAATGGTTAATTTTATCCTTAAGTGTACTGCCTAAATAGTGTATCTTGAAACCCAGGGAAACAAACAGAATTTATTTGAAAGCCACACTGCAAAATTTTCTTTTAATTCAGAAAAACAACATATATTTAAGATAAAAGAACTGTGAACTGAGTGATTAACAGCTCATTATGTAACAATTTTAACTTCTTTAATAATAGTAACTATTGTACACTTATGTTTCTATCAAATCCTTTCAAACATTTCTTTGAAGTAGGTAACCTGTTGTAATTTTCCCTTCAATACACTTTGAGACTGGCAGAGTGGACAAGGACTCTGGCTTGGATTCAAAACATCAAGTTTCAAAGCTTAGCTAAGCTTAGCTATATACTTTTTAATTGTGTGGTTTTGGACAAGTTACTTAAACTCTCTAAATGTGATTTCCTTTTTAGTAAAGGTAATCATTTGTACCTCACTAGGTTAATAAAAGGATTAAATGGAAAAAAAAAAGATTAAATGAGATAGTGTTTATATAAAGGGCACATGGTAAATATACAGTAAAACCAAAAGCCCACTTAACAATAATTAATGCTTGAAGAGTATTATTTTTTGAAGATAGCCACTGTTGTTCCTGTCCTATTCAGTGACTAAAATATTTAAAAATACCATTTCCCTTATAGGGAATCTATAAAACCACACTTAAAGAAAATTCCCCAACTCAATATTCTTAACATTACAAGCAAATAAGTTTGCTGTCATTATTATACTATTATGTAAATTATGTAATAAATGTGAAATATAATTAAAAATCTTACGGTCTTATTTTCTTTCCCATTGTCTTCTGTTGTGAATATCAACTGTTTATTAATTTCATCCATACTTATTAATGACCGTGTTTTGATGAAGTGTTGGAAAGAGACAGCCTCCACATATTCCTGCAGTCCTGAAAAACCAACCATGAAAATTACTAAGGAATAGCCAGTTAATAAAAAAATGTCAGAATAAAGAACCTCAAATTCATTATCACCTAGTTCTCACAAAAGTTCAATGGCTGCCTACTGTAATACTAGAACTAAATTTGGTACTTAGGATACAAGTTTATTGGAGCTGTTGCAAACTCACAAAAATGTCACAACATTTCCGACAACTCAGTACTTAGAATCACTTGGTGATAAGATGGGAAACATGGAGCCTTAGTGCTAAATACAGCAAACAATTCTTTGAACTTAATACAAGTTTGAATTTGAAAGTATTCAATTTCTTCCTACTTCATGAGTTATTTGTGTTAAAAATCTACTTTCTTTCCTACAGAGAAATGTCAAAGATTTTCGGGGGAAAGTTTTTCTATTTAGAAAAGAGCTATTACCAAAAGTCTGGTAGACTTCAGGAAACTAATTTCTGCTTCTTTAAATCACAAAATAATGACTCACTCAAATTAGACATAAGACTAGATCGTTTGGGTCTAACTTTTAATAGTTAAAAAATCAGTTTGAGTAAGTGAGATTAAGTAGCAAAATGTAAAATATTTTTTCCTACTCATACTTCAAATGGATCTAAAAAAGATAATTCTCTTCTGCCTTGTAAGGTTAAAAATAATAACCTGTTACTACCTATTGTGTACCAGATATAAATTCTACAAAATTCACTTTTAACTAAAAATAAATTTTGGTTGTCCCTCCCTTGTGGCACAACCGGTTAAAGCTCAGTACTACGAAGCTAGCAGCAGCCACTTCAGTATTAGTTCAGTCCCTGGCCAGGTAAACCACCTGGTACAGAAGACCTCTCCTGTCTCCTGTCTTGCCCACTGCTCCCCTCAGCGTGTACTTCATCAATCTGCCTGTTCTACTCCTCACTCTGTCTCTGGTGAATCCTCTCACTGCTCCTGAACCACTGGCCTGTGACCCAGTTCTGTATGCATAAATAAATCTTTAAAATAAATAAAATCTTGGTAAAAGTAAAAAAGAAATGATTCTATAAATGCTTTTGTAAATGTTTCAAAACAACTGAATTTGATAGCCACAATTATCAGTATTATCTGTTAATAATACATAGGGAAAAACTGTTTCTTAAAGTGATTACATCATTACTGACAGGTTTTTAAGTACTCTTCTGGAAGGCTTTATTGTAAAAACAGGAAGAGGAGATGAATTCTGACTAAGGAAAGAAAACTCGTAACTTAGTAGAATCATAATTATTTGTATAACACTACTCACACAACCTCACAGGAGCTGACATTAGAAATCAAGCTTGGCAGTAACATTGAGAAGGCTGACTATCAAAATGCTACACAAGGGTCAAAAACTCAAAGGGAAATGATGACCTGTTTTTGACAGCCAACCAGGGGAAATAACCAGATGAAAATATCCTGACTTATTTTGACCTGCAAATGTTAAAGTAAGGTCAGCAAATAGGTGTCTTCAGTTAAAAAAATAGGATATAACAGACTAGGACAATTGAATAAACTGTAACACGCTGAGATATAAACAAAGCTGAGTTTAACAAATCGGATGGCATCCTCAATGTTTACAATAAAAAGTATTTTTATAAAATGTCAGCCTTATGAATAGGATGATTCACATTGGGTGAGGCAGAATGCTTTACTTGAATTCATATAAAGCTTTATATAATGCAAAAACTTTATAACCTCGCCTTCACTTTATATGTTCTAATTTTTTCAGTTACTCATTCATAAGTGGCCTCTCTTCTTTCAAGATTTTAGATGCTGCTCACCTCAGTCTTCACTGCATTCTCTTCTCTTCTACACCTAACTCACTGTTGTTTTTTTCTAGAGTTAGTTCAGTACTACCTTCTGAAGAAATTGTCTCTGACACAATATCCTATTTTAGGTTAGGCCTTTGTTAAAGGCTCCACTAATACCACCCATGCACCTTTCCTTTGCAGGATTAGTAAAAATTACACTTCAATGTTCAAATTCTTTGTCTAGTATCCAGTACCAACCCTAGCTAAAAGGGCAATGTACCATGACTACTTTGTTCACTACTACTCCCCTAATGGCTTATGCAATACTTTGCACATTAACAGGCAAAAATATGATTAAATGAAACAGATATACTTTTGAAAAATTATTCAGTAACTTAAAATTATGTTTATAAGAACACTGAATAGGAAAATGTCCATTTGGGGGGGTGAAAAACACAAAATACAATAGATAAATAATTAAACCACTATGTGGACTATAATTATAAATACAGTGGTACACAGGCGAAGCTTGCTACTTAAAACAGCAAGGAATCTTCTAATGATCCCAGATTTCTAAGTAAGGTGGCTTAAATCATTTTATAGGAACAAATTTTGCTATATTGCACTATTTTTACTTAGATATCAGTGGGATGGGAGGAGTCTGAGCAGGAGGATATCATGTCTAAGATTTAGGTTGTGTTTAAGGAAAGAGCATAGGTTTGCCATGATGCTTAAGGATAGCATCGCAGGACTATTAAATTAGCAGGGCTTTGTTTTTTTTTAAAGATTTATTTATTTGTGCATACAGAACTAGAGTTCAGGCCAGAGGCTCAGGGGTTGTGAGAGGCTTCATCAGAGACAGAGTGGGGTTTAGAACAGGCAGATGGACGAAGTACACTGCTGAGGGGAGCAGCGGGCGGGTCAGGAGAGGTCTGCTGCGTCATGTGGTCACCTCCGGGGCAGGCGAGGATCGAACTCATGCAGAAGTGGCTTTAGCTTCTTAGTGCTGTGCTTTAACCCGCTGCGCCACCAGGGAGGGCCAGCAGGGCTTTGTTTAACAGAGTTCTTTAAGGAGTGTTTGGACATGGAAGAATAGAAATGGGGCTTAATTTATGGCTGAAACCATAGATTTGAAGTGCCTTGTACAATAAAAAGAAAAAAAAAATTTAAGTTTCAAATTTCAGTAATAGGAGAAGAAAGAAAAAAGAAGAAAAGCCGTGAGAAAGCAAAACAGTATTCTTAAAACTATTCCTGATTCTGATGAATATTGTAACAAAGATGAAAACTATAGGAAAACATATATACAGTAGATCATTCCTTGGTGAATGGAAAAAGAAATAGCTGAATTCCTTAAACTGTAGAGTTGCTTTATCCCTAAGACCCAAACAAAAACATGAAATAATACTAAATTTACCAAGTAGCCTGAACAACATAAAACTTACTGTATTAAGTATCTTATAATATACAGTTTCATGACATTGTTTATTGACATTTTTTCTGCAATCATCCTATCATCTTTCATCTCCAAAACTCTTCTCATCTTACAAAACTGAAACTGTACCCTAACCTAACTTTTCCTTTCTCCGTTAGCCTTTGAAAATCAACATTCTAATTTGTCTATGAATATGACTACTCTAGGTACTTCATGTAAGTAAAATCATACAGTATTTGTCTCTCTGTTACTGGCTGACTTCATTTAGCATAATGTCCTCAAGGTTCACCATGTTGTAGTATGTATCAGAATTTATTATAAATATGAAAAATATGCCATTGATAATATGACATTTTCCTTATCCAGCTATCCATGGACACTTATGTAGCTTCCACCTTTTGGATACTGTGAATAAAGCTGCTATGAACAAGGGTATATATAATTATCTGCTTTCAATTCTTTTGTATATATACCTAAAAGCTTCTGTGACTAAATAAATAAATAAATAAAACAATAGTAGAGTTTACTAAGTCTTGAGAAGCAATTACACATATCTGGTACTTTACATCCACCTTTTTAATGTTCATTATAAATTTACAAGGCTATATAGCACTACCCTTCCTTTGCGGATGAATAAATCGTGGCTAAACAAAGTTAAAAAATTCACCCAGGTGACATAATGAGTAGTGAAAATACAGTTTCTATATCTTAAAAATGCACACCCTTCTCTCTGTTTCTTTACATTCAACTCCATATAAATTCTGGAATATAAAACATGTTTACTTTTTCTCACTTTTCCCTCATTAAATCCCCAACTTATTTTTCTTTACACTTTATTTACTCTTATGCTCTAGTCTCTCATACTAAATACTTCCATGATTACATGTCTTCTCTCAAATCTTTTTCTACATGTAAAACACTTAAATGTTTTGATACACTCCAATCAAGGCAGCATTTCTTTCTTTATACCCACTACATGAAAACTTACATTCAATAAAATGTTTCAGATGGCAGGTATTATCAAGTGTTACATCATCAATTTTGCCGCTAAAGAGCTTACGTCAAGGATCATTCCTTTTATGGTTTTGTTCCTTTTTCCTTCCCCAAAGATAGAGAAAAAAATATATATCTAGTAAATTGTTAATAGAATCTCACTTTGCTCTTCTTCACACAAGTTTTGTGAAACTACACTTAAACCAAAAATACCTTAATCTCTGATATGTGAATATTCACACTACCTAAAAAGTAAATTTATGGTACTTTGGAGTTAACTCCATGAAGAAAGTAATATTCCTAAAAGATTAGAATTCAGACCAGTAAAGTTTAGAATTTTATTTTTTACTGTGGGAAAAAGAGGTTATGAAACAAGAGCCCTCAGTATTCACTTGTGGTGTCAGTCAGAACTAAAGTAGGTAGCGATCAAATAGTACATTTTCAAGTATATCTAGTCAGTTATTTAAATTGTCCTTGTAGGTTACTTCAGAGGTAAGGTGGTTATTTCTACTCCATAAAAATCAGGGTTCATGGTATAACGTGGAGAAAGTTCAAGGACAATGAGCTCAAATCACTGAAAAGCATTTTTGGTCAATGTAGGTAAAAGGATGTTTAAACAAATCTTGTTTCAACTTAATGAAAAGGACATCCGCTATTTTCAGTGAATAATCCCCAAGGTGAAAATTTTCAACCTACTGCCGTATTCCATCAAACAATGCCTTCCCCTTGCTTTTGTCTTGGATGAGATCCAGTTAGGATTATTTACGGAACCAGCTGCCAGTAGGACACAAGTTTGTAGGTTGTTTTTATATAATCCT